ACACAGTCACACCTGCCCCGCAGCAGCTGCTCCGCTCTCTCCACACCAGAGTCCGGGCAGGCTGAAATCTGCTGCTGTGTTTGGATCCCAGTAATAAAGCAGCACAGCCCAGCTGGACGCTGATCCCATCGCTCTGTTAGAAACCAACTGCACGTGTGCTGACTGCTCAGCAGCTGTGGGAGTCAGAGACCGTATTTAACTCCTGTGCTGACAGGTCAGCTGCTGTTTACAAGCCTCCCAGTGGAACAAACCCTGTTCGTGTAACGCTGGACTTCAGCCTGTTTCACTTTCAAACAGAAAGTGGACTGTTTGCAGTTACGGGGGTTTTCCAGTAGGAATGAAAATCTATTCTTGGAAACACTTTCTGTTTCCTCAAACTATCAACAGTTGGTAGAGGTTTTCTCATTAAAGACGACGTGACTAACATAAGGAGAGGGCGACTCCGCTCGCTTCATGTGGCGGTGGTGGTGGTGGTGGGAGAGGGCAGGCTTTAACTGGCCAATTGTGACCCGAGCCCGAAATGGGCCAATGATGAAACTGAGCGAGGGCACGACTACCAGGACGGGCAGCGATGTGTCACACACTTTGACTCATAGATTATAGTTTAGCCCAGTGTCCACAGGCTCTCCTTAAGTTATCACTGATGATGACCTCACAGTGGTCATGTGACCCTCGAGACGTTCCAGCCCAAAGGTGACCGTAGTTTTTCCTTCTTCACACATTCGCACATCGTGACGACATCATTAAGGCTGTACTCTATAGTTCCTGTGACTGTAGAAATGAGGTCAGAGGTCGGGGGTTTCCTTCGGCGTGGGGATTTTAGATAAGAGTGCAGCTGGGTGGATGAGGGTTGCAGTAAAAAGTTCTCAGATCAAAGATGTCTGAAAACGTTTTGTTCCTGCAAACAGGAACACACAGATATTTACCGCCAGGGTTTCGGTATTTATTTACTTTGTGTGATGGGCGTGTTATTTTGGTGCTGAGGTGAAATCTGTCTCTTTGCTCCAGCCCGCAGCTCGCCAAGCGGCGGAGGCGTCGGCACGTCGTAGAAGAGCATTTCAGCCCGGTGAGTCGCTGCGCCGCTGCCCTACTGAATCCCTTTGTAACCAACTCTTCATCGCAGACTCACAGAGTCATTTCATTCCCCTCAGGTGCCGGTGGACAGCTGTCCAGAACCAGACTGTCTCACCCCCAGCAAGCGAGCTTTTTCACATAGTTCTAAACGCCGGCGGCTGGCCAAACAGAGCGCCGGCTTCGTTCCCGCGTCCTCTCTCAGGACGTTTGCTTTGGGCAGCTGGCTGGAAGCCCCGCGGTCCACTGCATCCTCATCGTCCTCTTCGTCTTCTTCCTTTTCGTCCTCTTCCTACCTCACTCCGGTATCAGTCCTTCAGCCGAGACCAAATGAGACGAATACTTTGGCGTCACCGTCACCACCTCCAGCAGCGGCGTCGAGCTCCAACTCGCTGTCCTTCCTCACTGAAGAGGAGAGGAGGTGGCTGAACGGTGATGAAGGCGGCACCTCTGCAGGTACGAGCGTTCGGCGGTCACACTTCCTGCCTGAATCTGAGCTTTACAGAAACGTCTCTGAAGTGATGGCGTTACTCTCCACCAGACTCCATTAAAAAAAACAGAATTTAGCCTCATAGAAGACAGCAGCTGTTCTCCTGCTGCTGCTCAGCTGACTTGGTCTTATTGTGCAACTTCACATTCACAGTTTAACATCCAGACGTCACAGGAAGCGAACAGAAAGTTAACGTTTTGAGGTAAAAATCGATGTTTTTTCACTGGAGTCTGGTGGAAGTTGGCGGGTGTTTCTGGGAACAGATGAAGAAACCTGTTTATGAGGAAACTCATCAGCTCGAGTCTGAGTCGTCAGACAAACTCAGTGATGTTTCTGTCGTTTCTCCTGCAGCTGCAGTGGAGCAGATCATCATCAGCGACGATGAGGAAGCCACCGTGCGTTCACTACAGATGGAGGAAGACGAGGCGCTGGCCCGCAGCCTGCAGGTAGAAGCTGACCCGGACAAAAACGCCTCACCTGAGGCAGAGCGGACAGGTGTTCACGTTTCCTTTTCATCCTTCAGGCTCAGTTTGACCGAGAGGAGTCGGATCTTCATGGCAGGCACCAGCATCATCACCACCATCACCTTCATCAAGAGAGTCACCACAGGGTGAGACAGAGTGAAGGACGTGTGCAGGTACAGGGTTCGGTTTGTGGACTCAGGTGTGACCTTCTCTCTGCAGTTTTATCCCTACGTGGAGCCTCGCTGGATGTCTCAGGTGCTCGCGGCCGTCTCTCCTCTTGTGGGGCTGGAAGAAGGTAAGACATGGTGATGATGTCACTGGCGTTTAGAGCAGCGATTAATCGAGCGTTCGCTGGTAAACAAGAGCCTGCTCACACCTGATTGGTCAGTAGGAGGGAGACTGAACATGTGATCTGTGACCTCCTGATTCTCCAGCTGTGTTTAGAGTTTCAATCAGTTTGCAGTCATTTTGCTTCTTCTGATGCAGCTGATGTGTTTCCGCAGACCTGATTGGTCAGCGTAGAAGACGTGGGCAGGGCAGGAGGAGGAACGGCATACCCGACTTTTCAGACGACCTTCAGGGAAACGACTACGAGGTGAGGAGGCTCGGAGGACTGATGGAGGAGGGAGGCCTCACATTTGTTTGAACTGAAGTGTGCTGCGACCTAATCTAGGTCAGCTCCACCCACCGGTTACCTGGAAGTCCGGGACAGCAGAAACAAATCAATCATGTTGGTGTTAGAGGTGTGGCGATCATAACCACTGCTGAGCATCGGCAGCCTCAGCACCTGGGGGCGGTTTAGCAAGAACACATGGGACACGGAGTCCTGAGAGGCGATTGGTCGACCAGAGTCAGCTGAACTTGGCGCCTTGTTTGTGGCTCAGCTGCAGAAAGCTTTGATCCGGTCAACGAGATTTAGTTCCCATTCCAGAAAAACACTGTTCCTGTCACATCAGTGTTGCAGTATCGCTCCGGCACGGCGTCTTTGCAGGGGGAGGACACGTAAGCCTAAATTTCTGGCTTTAACTCGAACCCGCTTTACTTCAGTTTTATTTACACAGCACGCAGTCACCACAACAGTCACCTCAGGGTGCTCCGTGCTGTACGGCTCCCAACAATCATGTGACCCCCTATGAACAAGCGCTTGGTCACAGTGGGAAGGAAAAAGACCCAGGCTCAGGGAGGCTGTCTGAGCGGGGGAGGAAGTCGGGGAAAGATGCGCCGTGGAGCCCGATTTTCTTCTCATACTCTCAGTCCTGAATCGCGCGTTCCGGAGCCGATGATCGCGATATTCAAACGGACGTTAAATTATTACAAACGTTTTTCCTGTCATAAATCTGTGTGAACATACGAGTCACCGTCAGACAAGCGTGACCCCGTGACCCCTCTGCTCGTCTTTCAGGCTCTGCTGGAGTTCGAGGAGCGTCAGGGCGCCGTGGTATCCAGGAAGCTGAGTCGGCGGGAAATCCAAAGGTTTCCCACCAAGGTGTTTCAGGGATCCAGCAGTGGCGGCGGGAACACGCAGTGAGTCTCTGAGCTCGCCGTTTGTAACGCTGAAAACAAACGAACCCCGAACCTGCACGCTAACACGTCTCTGTGCTGATTGGCCGGCAGGTGTCAGATCTGTTTCTGCGACTACAGCGACGGCGAGAAGCTGAGGATTCTGCCCTGTTTCCATGACTACCACGTCCAGTGTATCGACCGATGGCTGAAGGTACTCCGGGGGATGCGCCGTTCGCGCTCCACTGTTTTTAGAGCCCCTCCTTAAACGCCGTCTCCTCACCTGTGTCTCCCCTCCTCCTCAGGATAACACCACCTGTCCTATCTGCAGAGCCAACCTGGCTGACGGAAACGCCGTCGCCCCCCCGACCTCTGACCTCTGACCTCGTTTCTACAGTTTTCTATCGGAGCAGACGGGTTCGTGTCTCCTGAAGGACGACTCAGACTTCTGTTTTTCAGTTTTTTATATTTTTATTTAAAGGTTTGTCGGTGCTCATGTGACCACAGAAATAAAACAATAAAACCTCGCAGCGAGTTTTTTCATTTATTTAGTGACGAGCAACCAGTGCTTCTTAATATTTCATCTTCTTATGTCTTAATGTTGTTTGTTTTATTTTTTTAAGCCTTAGATAGTTTGTTTGACATAATTTTGACTTTTCGTAAAATATTAATATTTTCTGTAAAATATTTTAATTTCTCCTCTGAACAAAAATCAGAAAAGCTGCGACCTGTTGCAGCAACAGCATCAAACTGTTTTATTTAGTCTGCTTTGTGTTGATGTGTCTGTTCCTCTAAATGTTCAAAATAATACAAACTGTTATTTAGATCATATATTTAATTCAGTTCTATTTTATTTACAAGGCACCAAATCATGACCACAGTGCCTCATGGTGCTTTATGTTTTATGGTAAAGACCCTAAAATTATGCACCCCAACAATCAGATGACCCCCTGTGACCACTTTGGGGACTGTGGGAACGAAAAACTCCTTTTTAACAGGAAGAATCAGGAGGCTCAAAGTTGTGAATCGTGACGCCTTTACTCTCCACCAGACCAAAAACATGAATTTGACCTCACAGGAAACGAGCCGCTGTCTCCTTTTCTGCTGTGGATTTGTGTTTTTCTGTGACTTTGGCTTCTCGGTGGGTTAGTGTGGATCAGTGTGGAGCTGATAATAAAAAATCCATGTGAAACTTTATTATCCAACTGTTACGGTTACAGTAGACGCAACAAATCCAGCCTCGGCCATTCTCGACCTCAAACACAGATACATAGGGTATCCTTTAACTTCTGTCAGTTCCCACAGTCTCAGCAGGTGAGTGGACATCAGTGATGGTGAGTTCAGGTGAAGCAGAAATATGAACGAGTTTTAATTGTGTTGGTGAAATGAACTCTATTCTCTCATTAAACGTCAGAGCCGCTCAGATCTAATTAAAGAGTGGGCGGGGCTTGTTACACGTCACGTATATGTATAAAGGTTGGAGAGCTTCCCTTCCACCCAGCGTGTGCCTCTAGTATCAAATGCAGACCTCCAGTCAAGGTAGGTGCTCTGTGCTCTCCTCTGTTGTTCGTATTATGGTTATTATAGTAACTATAGTTTAAACTAGCAGCTTTCATTCTCATGATTTCACCGCTGCGTCATGAATCAGCTTAAATCACAAACTTTTACTTTCGCTTCCTCGGCCGTGACAGCCGGATCATCCGGATCCTTTCCCCCTTCAGCTTTTTGTGAAAGCGCTAGAAATCAGAAATCAGAGAGGAAAGTGTGGCTGGCTGAGAAAGGATTCGGACCCACAGAGTCAGACTTGACAGGAAACTCCCCCAAACCACCCGGAAATATCCCCTCTGACACTTAGGCGCAGTGTTTCCTCCTGATCTGAGCTTCATCCTGCAGTTACACGTCTCTGAGAGACGCTCGGTTTGGGGCAGATGTGCCGATAGACACACCCCTGCGCCACCGTAACATCCAAACACCGTCAGTCCAGGGGCGTGTCCGGGGACAGGAGTGCATGGGGTGGCACCCTCCCTGATCACCAACCACCAGGAACATTTACCCAAGTTCTTCACTGAAGTGCACGTTATTGTACTGAATCCAAGTATTTCAGTTTTACTGAGGCAGATGTTACATTTCCGACACTTTATTTTCAATTTTCTTATTGGTTCGCTGATTAACTGCATTATTGTAGTTGTAACTGGGTCATAAATTACATATTGTTATAATTCCTGTTATATCTTTTAGGACCTTCAAGCCTGTAGTTGTGTTCATTATCAGGAGCCCCCCCCCCTCATCCTTCTTCTTCTTTGGTGCAGATTTCCAGGTGAGGGAGAATCTGCTGTTTTTATCACTGGGCTCTTTGCACAGATCCATGGTGTTAAAAACCTGCATTTGTAATCAGTGACGGTTTTCTGATGAGTCGTTTCTCCTGCAGCTGTACTGGAGCAGTTAATCATCATCATCAGTGACGATGAGGAGGTCGCAGCAGGTGGAGGAAGACGAGGCGCTGGCCCGACGCCTGCAGCTAGAAGCCGACTCAGAATTTGGTAAATGTCATGGCCAGTGTTGGTCAAGTTACTTGAAAAAAGTAATCAGTAACTAATTACTGATTACTTCCCCCAAAAAGTAATCCCGTTACTTTACTGATTACTTATTTTCAAAAGTAATTAGTTACTTAGTTACATTTTAAAAACACGATTTACAACCTGAGTAGGTGATAAAGCGATAGATCTTTCAGCCCAATTCTACTTTTTCTGCATAACCCATCATACAAAATGTAATCAAATGGAAAAGTCTCTTTTTAAAACATGTTTTATTAGTTTTAATCTTTTAACTTTATGCATCAAGCAAAAATTTAATTATCTGCAACATTCTCTGACTGGAAGAAATTAGTTTAACATTTAAACCTATTTTCTGCACATTCCAGCACATAAAATAAATAGTTTTTGTGTTTACACTCAGTCTTTCAAATAGATGCAAGTAAAACACAGCAGAAAATAAATAAAGTCAAAGACTCAGCGGTCCTGTTGCTCTATTTTCACCTGTAAAGCAGGAGTGGGGTAGGCGGAGGGTTACCCTGGTGCAGGTGTGCCGCGGTCAGTGGAAGAATCCGTGAGTTTCTCTGTGAGTTTCCCATCACGTCGTAGCTACTCGGTGCTTGTTGGAAGTTTAGGGGTTTTTTCGCTGTAAAAAGAAGTTTTCTTCCCACGCACAGCGGACACTAATGTTTTTGTCACTTTTTATGGAATCAAACTCAAAGTAAGGTCAGTACTTCCACGCTTTAAACGCTGCACGCTCATACTCTCTCTGCACTCGATATGTGATCCACTGTTGATCTGCACACAGCTGTTGTCACTAAGGGCGCACTCGCTTACGTCACTGTCATGAGACATTCTCGCAAAAAATCACGGTTTTAGTAACGCAGTAACGCAGCGTTCCTACGGGAAAGTAATGGTAATCTAATTACCATTTTTGCAATCGTAATCCCTTACTTTACTCGTTACTTGAAAAAAGTAATCGGGTTACAGTATCGCGTTTCTTGTAACGCGTTACTGCCCCTCTCTGGTCGTGGGGGTGGGGACTTTATGTAATTCTATAGAATTTGCCAGCTTAGACGGGCATGATGTCGGTATGAGGAGATCATTCAGTCCCATCGAGTTACCCTTTGAATATTTCAGGGTTTTAAACTCCTACTCAATAACTGATGAACTCTTAAATCTTTCCATCTCTTCTCCTGCAGCTGGGGTGGAGCAGATCTCCATCACTGAGGAGCAGCAGGCTGCGGTTCGTTTACAGCAGATGGAGGAAGATAAGCTGCTGGCCCGCCGGCTGCAGGCAGAGGACGACTCGGACATCGGTATGTGTCGGTCTTATCGGGGGGGGCAGACCTGCTGTCGGTCTGCTGCTTTTGTAAGTGAACCAAAGAAAATGCTAATGCTAAATAACTTCTGTAACTGCTATGAACGTCATGTGACTGTGATGCTCGGCGTGAGCAGTTATACTTATATATTACAACTTCCTGTCACACGTGTCAAATGAAACACCGAACTAAGACTTTTCACACCTTTGTTCATTTTTTGTATTTGGCGACGTGCTCCTGATGAGACAAGCGCTCCGGCTAAAACAGATGGAGGACGACCATGACCAACTAGGCTCCACCCCTAAACTGGTCCTGATAATCTAGACTAGGAACAAAACAAAAAACAGGACCGCCAGTACCTCCCAATTCAGCCTGTACTTAAAAAAACAAACAACTGACGGAGGTGACGGGCGACCATGCTCCGTCTTCTCTGAAGGCTCGCCTTCAGGAACCAATCAGCAGTAAGAATAAATCAGAGAAGCTCACACAGGGGCGCTGCTTGTCTGCCTTTTGCAGTGGGGAGACTGCAGCCCCCTCAGCCCCCCTCCTTCACACGGCCCTGTCCATGCTGTCCTGTAGGGAATGACTGTGATTGGCTGTGGTCACGAGTCGATTTGCATTTTATTAAAGATAATTTTTAATTGGTTCTTTATTTTTAGTTTTTTGCATTTTAAATATCACTCGATGGTGCACGCGTCTCTGGGTCTAGCTTCTTTGGCCTGGATGGGTTCTGTGACGAGTGGTTTCTCCTGCAGCTGTGGTGGAGCAGATCTCCATCAGCGAGGAGGAGGAGGCTGCAGCTCGTTCGCAGCAGCTGAGGGAAGACGAGGCGCTGGCCCGACGGCTGCAGGTGGAGGACGACTCGGACATGGGTACGTGTTGGCGTTACACACACACATATGAATATTGGAACCCTTCTTTCACTGCTGCTTTAGTTTCAGCGTCTCTGACGGTTGTTGGCGACAAAAAAAAGCGGAACCGATCCTGGAGTTACTCTTCTCTCAGCATCAGGAACGTTAAAGTTCCCGATGCTTCCTAAGCTCCACTTTTATCTTTCAGCTTCTCCAAAATTTCCAATTTCCAACATTCATACATGTTGCTGATGACTCAAACGGCTGCAGGAACACGCCCACCCTCCACATTAGTTATTATTAGAACAGTTAACATGCATGTCACTCCTGCTGTCACATTTTGTCAGCGTGGTGTCTTTGAACGCAGCACGGGGGCTGTTGCCTCAGCAGCTGCACCCTCAGTGGAGGCTTGTCTGATCCTTCGTTTCTTCTGCAGCTGCGGTGGAGCAGCTCGCCATCAGCGAGGAGGACGCCATTTGTTTCCAGCAGGCGGAGGATGACGAGGAGCTGCAGGTGGAGGCCGGCTCAGACATCGGTACGTCAGCGTTGCGTTAGGCTGTGGTGAGTCGGTGAGTGAAACGGGCGCTGCTCTCAGGCGCTGCTCGGTAATCGCTGTTCGCCGTTCGCTCGCAGCTGCTCGATGAGCAAACGTCGCTGTTCCCACTTCCACGCTTTGCATACAGGGCGGGATTCCCACTGTGGAAGAATGATTTTGTTTTATTTTGTATTTATTTTTTTAAATGTTTTGCCTTTTTAAATCTATATCCTTCATTCATCATCATCTTCATCACTACTGTGATGTTGTGGCACGGTGGTGTGGTGGTCAGCAGGGTGTGCTCACAGTGAGAAGGTTCTGGTTCTGTTCTCCGGTTCTCCCACAGTCCGAACTATTATTATTACTATATGATGATGGAGTCTGTGACGAGTGGTTTCTCCTGCAGCTGTGGAGGAGCAGATCTCCAGCAGCGAGGAGGAGGAAGAGGAAGAGGATGCGGTTCCTTCACAGCAGGTGGAGGAAGACGAGGCTCTGGCCCGAAGGCTGCAGGCGGAGGACGACTCGGTGCTCGGTACGTGTCAGTGTTGGGGGGCGGACCTTGAGAACGATGGGGAACGTCGGTATTATTGAAACATGATTGGCTGGTGGTGGTTCCAGCCTCCTGCTGAACCTTCAGCGTTCTTCTGATGCTTTGTTCTGCAGCCGCGGTGGTGGAGCAGCTCGCCGTCAGCGACGAAGAGGAGGGAGCCACTGGTTTACAGCAGGTGGAGGATCACGAGGCGCTGCACCAACACCTGCAGGTGGAGGCAGACTTGCACCAAACGCCTCACCTGAGGCAGAGCGGACAGGTGTTCACGTTTCTGTTTGTTCCTCCAGGCTCGGCTGGACCGAGTGGAGCACAACAGACACCGTCACCACCTCCATTATCACCACCTCCACCAGCGTCTTCTTCATCGCCTCCACAGGGTGAGGCAGCCAATCACAGTCTGATCATGGTTTTCATATTATCAAAAGTGGTTCTGCGTTCAGGAAACGTGCGACGTTTTGCTTTGATTCGCTGACCGAGCCGTGACCTTCTCTCTGCAGGGTCGTCCCACAGAGCGCCGCTGGATGATTCAGGTGGCTCCCGGAGAAGGTAAGCACCAGAAACCAAGTACTACAGAGATGTGGTATAAATACATGCAGTACTTCAGTCCAATCAGGTCTTTGGAGTATTTGTAGTTTTTCTACTCGCTCCTGTTAAAGATTTTTTTTCTCTCTATAAAAACTGAACAAACACAAGCTGCTCAAACCTGACCGACCAATCAAACGACAGCGTAGAAACCTGACCAATCAAACAACAGCATGACACTGTTGTAGAGCTTTAATCGGTCTGCTTCTGCTGATCGTTCCACAGTTCTGATTGGTCACGGCAGGAGTAGGGACGCCACATCTGATGACGCTGAAGGAAACGACTACGAGGTGAGGAGTCTGGAGGAGGGGGAGGGGTCTCGAGGAGGGGGAGGAGTTTCGATCATTCTGCAGACTTTGTTCACTCAGGGACAAAAATCCCGTCAGAATTTGTCTTTGGAGCTTTTTTCCCAAAAAGTTGTTTTGAATTTGGATCTTTCTTCTTCTTCTTTAATGTTTCATCTCAGACTTGGTTTGTGATCTCTTCTTTACGTTCCTCCTTCGTGTTACAGTTAAGCTCTTACAGTTAGACGCTGCAGGTATTCAACGTGGACCAATCAGGGCCCAGATGTCAGAGTGTTGACGCCTTTGCTCGTCTTTCAGTCTCTGCTGGAGCTCGAGGAGCGTCAGGGCGCCGTGAGGACCAATCAGCTGAGCGCGACGGACATCCAGAGGTTTCCCACCAAGGTGTTCCAGGGATGCGGCGGCAGCGGCGGGAACACGCAGTGAGTCTCCGAGCTCGCCATTTGTAACGCTGAAAACAAACAAACCCCAAACCTGCACGCTAACACGTCTCTGTGCTGATTGGCCGGCAGGTGTCAGATCTGTGTCTGCGACTACAGCGACGGCGAGAAGCTGAGGATTCTGCCGTGTTTCCATGACTACCACGTTCACTGTATCGACCAGTGGCTGAAGGTAACGCCGTGCTTGGTTATACGGAGATGACATAAACTTGGAACGCCACCTGACTCTGTCTCCTCCCCCCCAGGATAACCCCACCTGTCCCATCTGCAGAGTCAACCTGGCCGACAAAGACACCATCGCCCCCCCGACCTCTGACCTCTGACCTTGCTTCTACTGTTTCCTATGGGAACAGACAGACAGGAAGGAAGGAAGGAAGGAAGGAAGGAAGGAAGGAAGGAAGGAAGGAAGGAAGGAAGGAAGGAGGACTCACGCTTGTTTTTGTTTTGAATACTTTAATTTAAAGGCTTCACTCGGTGGTCATGTGACCTCAGGATTGGATCCGTAAACCTCAGAGCTGTTTGTGTCGTCACTGTTCGGTCGCCGTTTAGTCCTCGTAGTAGCGCTTCTTCATCGCTCTGTACTTCCTCAGGTAGTAAAGCGCCTCCAGCTCCCGGGCCACGTACTCGCCACGAGCAATCAGGGCCTTTATTTGCTCGGGGTCCTCCACCGCCTTGTTCCTGGCAAACGCCGCTCTCAGACGGTCGCGGAAGTAGTCACCACCTTTGGGGTACTCCCTGCCGAGGTAGAGGAGCTGCAAGGAGGAAGAGGATGTGTTAGCAAAAATATGTCTTTATTTTTACTAAAGGGCAAAAAGGCGGCCGATGTATGACGGCACATGATGATCACATGATCTCAAAATCAGCACAGGTCTTAAAATCACTCTGGACGATGATCTTAGACTGACACACCTCCAGAGGCCAATGTGTTTTATCAGGACGAGCAGCGGGAACGCTCCGAGGATCCACGAGCGCTTTTAGTGATTCACTTTACAAAAGGTGAATCTGAAATCTTGTCACATAGTCTTGCTTTGTAATTCCTTCAGCGGCGCTCCCTGCAGAGACCTTATCTTAGTCTAAAGCTGATAACAGAAAGTGTTTTCCTAAAGAGGGTCAAAGGTTTATCTGCAGATAGCTCTGCGGTCATAAAGGCGCCGCTGATCTCCATCCTACACGCTTCCTCATGCATAAAATCTTTAAAAACACTGATTGTTACAGTGTCTCACCTTACTTTCTAATTCACTCAGGAGGGCGGAGCTCCTGCGTGAGGTGGACAGGAAGTCTTTAAACCTTCACCATGAGGGATCACGAGTGCGGGCATCTTATTTTTTGCATTTATGAAATAAGAAAGCGCCGCCTGCTGCCTGTTTGTCTAAACTCACTGAGTTAGTTTCACCAAAGAAAAATGTGGTGACCATCTCAGGCCACAGCACATCTTATGTCACGTGTGCAGCTGGTTTCACTCAGAACCCGTTAAAGGGGCGGGGCTACAGAGGGAGGCGTGTTAGATTTCTGGGTTTTGGGCTTTAATGTTATTAAAATATTGTGATGGTGGGCTGTGAGTTTGATTGTTGGTTTTCTCTGCTGATGTTGTTCGCGGCGTAACGACGGCTCTGCCACTGAAACGTCCACTTTTTCACCCTAAACATGATGAAGTGTCGTCAGAGTGTTTCTGAGCAGATAATCTCAGCCCGATCCGATAAATAAGCTTTAAATATATCAGAACACCACTTCAGCGTCATTCTGACAGATGAATAAAGACCTCAGTGCTTTGGTGCAGACACTACAGGTTGTGCACGCAGTTGCATTCTTTTAATGCCCAGCAGGGGGCGACACTTGCTGCAGCGCCCTCTGTAAACACTGCTGACATCTTCACAGATAAACATGAAGCTTGAACATTTTGGTGGGGCTCAGCACCGCTTTGCATGATGGGAGATTTGAGAGGCAGCTTTGTGCCTTCAGATCTGTTTGAGGTCATCTCATCATTACGCACCTCCGACGGCTCACAGTGGCACCGACGGATCATCTTAAAAGTAAATTAACTGTCAATAAATGTTAACAACATCATCATGGAGTCTTTGCTGACGCCGCCTGAAGTCTCATCATCCAAACTCCCGATTCTGACGTTTACAGCTGTGAAAACAGAAAATCTAGAAACGCTGGAGGACAACGTGTCACCGACAATGTTCCCTCTAAGCTGCCCACTGCTGGCACAGAAAATCTGCGTTGCGCACAAAAAAAATCTGACCTGCACTGAAATTAAAATTAAACTTTAACAATCCTGTTCTGCAGTGTTAGTCAGTGACTGGCTGCTCCCGTATGGGATCAGAACGATGCCACCTTATCCCACAGTCCAGCCAATGATGCGATTCACATTCGTATATACGCAGCTGATCAACGTGGCTGACAGGCTCTGACCGCGTCCTTATGTGCGGTGTTTTAGCAAAGCGGCTGATGTGGAGTGAAGCCACGTTAATGCCAACGTGTACAACCATTGGAGATGTGAGCAGGACAGACGGAACAACTGACGGACAAAGTGTGGACTTTATACCAGTTTTTAAATTGTGTTGATCGGCCACGTAAAACCAGAGTTATGATAAAATATCTGCAGTGTTTGTTTTTCTTCCTGAATACTGTCGTTGTTTATAGTTACTGCAGGAAGAAACGGTAAAAACTGCGTTTTATAAGGAAAACGCTCAAAAGCCTGTGAACAAAAACAAAACTCCCAGCCTTTCCTATTGGTGGAAAAATGTACCATGTGGACCAATCAAAGAATGATATGGCAACATGGCATTTAATTGTTTAGGGAGGGGGAAGTTTTAGGAGTGACGGCGTGTTTGAGATGTGAGAGATTTGAGACGTTTAGCACAAATCTTGTGTAGTTAGTGTGTAGTTAGAGTGTAGTTAGTGTGTAGTTAGCGTGTAGTTAGTGTGTAGTTAGTGTGTAGTGTAGTCAGTAGTGTTGTTGTGTGTCAGGACAATGAGGCGCCTGCTGAGTGTTACAGGTGTTACAGCAGTGACACATCTGCTGCTGTCAGGCCTGCAGGTATCAGGCTGTTGTTCTCCTTCATCTCATAGTGGACAGAAATTATTTTTTGGAGCTGCACAAATAATTTGTGTGGCATCAGATTTGATGCAGAACAGCTGATTGTTCTGTAAATAGTTTGAAATGTTTGTTTAAAAACGCCTTGGCTGCATTTTTAGGTAAACAGCTGCAAAACTTTGTTTCCATAACTCAGTTACTTTTTTGAAGAAGTAACTAAATAATTAATTACCCAACATTGGTCATTATTTACTGTATTTGCAGACAGAGTTACAGACTCTCTCCCAGACCACAGACTCACAATACAGTCAGAGCAAAAAATAATAAAAATAAAGTTGTTTTCAAAATTGGAGTTCAGGTTATTTTTGCTTCCAATAGTGTTAACATGCTGCACATGAACAAGATTGTTTTAAGTTTTCATTGTCAGTGGGTTAAAGCAGTTAAAAGTCGTCTAACATAAATGTAAATGCTGTAATTTGATTACTTTAGTAAACATGTAACTTGGATGCTGGCGTGACCACAGTGCACACGTCTGCTGCTGCTCACAGTGGTCCACGGGACGCTCAGGGAGTTTGTGTGTTCGCTCAGACACGTGGAACATTAGAGGGAACTTTGGTCATCGAGTTCTTTAAAAATGAATTTCCCCAACACTCACGTTCTTGTACAGTCGAAACACTTCAGACCTGAGTGGGTTGGCCATCTTCCTGGAGGACAGTCCGAGCTGAGAAAGGCAGAATAAACGCAAAGTTCAGATTAAAGAGGTTTAACCTGCTGCTCACGCTCAGTAACTGCTGAGGATTCAATTCCATGTGCAACACAAAGAAAACTGCAGCTCTGCTGACGAATCAACAAGAGAACCATCGAACCAGATCAGTCGCTTCACAGGAATCACAAACAGCGTTAAGGCTGAATGACGCAGTCAGATCTGAAGCCATCGGCTCCGGATCGGATGGCCGACTGTCATTTATCTGTGACAGCCGAAGCACTACAGGCGCCAGTGTAACAGTAACACTTTAAAAATAAACAACAATAAAGCTGTTTAATAATTAAATGTTAATAATAACAATAAAGTACATCTTGAAGGTACCTGCTAACCTATTGTTCCCATGACGTTTATGGCTTTTGGGAGGCCAACAAAGAAACCGATCTTACACCAGAGTCCACTCACAAAAACGCAGATTTTCACCTGACAGAAAAAAGAAGTTTCTATTCAACTTTGCGTGACTTTACTGTTTCAGTGTTTTCTTGTGATCCGAACTAACTCACTAAAACATCAGAGTCGCTCCGTAACACAAACTAACGGACCAGTCGAGGCCGCTGCAGACGCAAAGCTCCGCCCTTCTGTGACGTAAAAATCCAGCTTTTGTGAATGGAGTCTGGTGGAGAGCGACCCGGTTCACTTCGCGGTTAGCACATAACCCACAGCGGCTCATCCAGGTGTGCAAAAAATTGGCACACCAGCACGTGATCTGTAGTGGGCGTGACCGCCGGCACCTGCTGCAGGTAACACTGTGTTTCCGCGTGTCTCTGCCTGCAGGTCTATAACGTTAGAAAGTACACGCAGTATCGCAGTACATGTAACGCACACCTGTCTGCCAGGTGCGCGTTAGATTAGACTGAAAACACGTTTAACGCTCAGCTCGTGACGTCATAAATACTATAAACACTTACAGGAACGTTTGAGGCTCGTTGGTCTCAGTTTTGCTGCAGGGTTTGAATTCCTGCGTGAAGTGGATCAAATGAAACGTCACCTTCAGGTGATTCACGTCAGGTGAGCAGCGCTAGCAGGAAGCCAACTTTGCTCTGAGCGGCTGAAAGAGAAAAACCCGACAATAAACTAACCGAGCCTGAGCGGGTCAAAGGTCACGCAGGGTTAAAGTTCCCGCGGTGAATCTGTTTCCCCCGCTGCTGTTGGTCTAAAACAACCCGCTGAGCTCCGGGTTCATCGCCGCGGAGCACGAAAACCTAAAAGTCTGAACTTAGTGAGCGTGCTGCGCGCTCACAGGCTAGCAGGTAAACAACCAAAGAGTGTGAGCGCGCAGAGAGTAACCCCACCCCGACACGCTCAAACCGCCGGCCCGCGAAAAGCCGAAGAACAAACACACATTTCACTACAAACTACGACCGCATATCACCGTAAATACTGCCTCACACCGTGTTACTTACTGATCATTAAAACTGTGATAAACACACCAAAGGTTTTAGAAAGATTCGGGTTGATGTACATGAAAACACACACGTAATTTTTTTATTGGCTGTAAACTTTTTCTTTTTATTCTTCTTCAGACAAAAGCTTCTTACTAAAACATGATGCAGGCACATGTGAACCGACCGCCTTTCAAACTCTTCCAGGCTTTGACATCAAAATTCATTAAATTACAACAAAACAGGGTACATAAGTGTTCTCACACTCACACACACACACACACACACACACACACACACACACTCACACACACACACACACACACACACACACACACACACACACACACGTTCATGTTGGACCATCTGACGTCAGGATGGGAGGAGGCAGCCAGAACGAGGCTCCAGACGGTCAGTAGTTGGCCCTGAGCCGGCGGTTCTCCTCCCTCAGCCTCTCGATCTCCTCCACCAGAGACTCGTTGACGGAGTATTTCTCTATCAGACTGTGGATCTCAGTCTGAAACACAAACACAGAATCATAAAAAACCAGAAAGTCACATCTGACCATCAGAGGAAAGCTCGGACGAATCTGTCGTACCAACTGGATGTAAAACTGTCGGATCATCTCCACCTGGAGGTTGATGATGTCTTTGTGACAGGCGTTCCTGAGGAGGAGAAGCTTGTTCATGTCCCGCTGCCATAAAAGCTCAAAAACACCAAATCAACCCGCCTCTGAAAATAGTCCCCACAAAAAGGCTAGCTGATTTTTCTCTGAAGAGAGGTCAGAGGTCAGACTGACCTGAACTCCTCCAGAGTTTCGTGGATCATGTTCTGGATGAAGTGGATCTGCAGGGAGGTGAGGGGAGCAGCTCCGGCCTGTCCAACCACGTCGGCGATGTTCTGAGAAAGAGACGAGGAAACGGCAGCCGACAGAGCCGGACCTGAAGGCAGAGGAAACATCGGAATCTCCCACACAAGCAGCTGACCCTGAACTCAGCGTCCAATTCACAAGCCTATTCCTACAGAGTCCCACAAACAGTGAACTAACCACGGTGATATCGGACCTTAGTGGGAATTGAACCCTCAGAACTGCTGCTGCCCGACTCTACCTGCTGCTGCAGATGTGGTGGGTGGAGCTCCGTGGACAGGTGAGTCGTAGCTCAGGTGAGCCTGAATGCCATTGGCTCTCCGGAGGCTGGGCTCTGGCGTGAAGAAGGGCGGGGCCAGCTGACTGTGATTGGCTGACTGTGACATAGGGGGCGTGGACTGACTCTGTGTCTCCAGACTGGAACAGCTGACTTTGTCAGACTGAGACAGATCAAAGTTCAGTTAGGTGGACCTGCGTTGTCACAGGTGTAGAGGTTAAAGGTTAAAGGTCATCACCTTTCTGGCATCACACAGTTCTCCAGCTACAGCAGTGTTTGGCTCCTCCTCTTTGATAGCCGGAGGGGTCTGGAAGACTGACAGCGGGCTGTAGCACCTCCCCGCCGAGGCTGCGAGCGGCGTTCCCAGTGGCGTCTTCCTGTGAGAGCTGGGACCTGCGTGAGAGTCTGAAGCACAGTGCAGACATTCTTTAACCTCCAGGTGACCTCACCTGGACCTTTAGGCATTTTAAATGGGCGTTGAACTTGAACTCTGACCTTCTCTGACTGGAGAGAAGATGTCCAGGCTGGCCCGGCCTGTTAGCTGCTGACCCTCCCCATCTCTAGACATCACCTCCGAAGTGGTAACTAAGGAAAAAGAAACACAGCGTCAGGATTGGTCCGACGGCAGCGTCGCTTCAAATGCATCTGGTGACCACCTCTCGTACCCTGTCCTCGTCCAAATGGGGTGTTCGCGGTGGTCCCGTGGGTGAGCGGGTCTGGAAGAAGAAGGAGAAGCACGACTGAAATGGATTCAGTTAGAGGTGATAACAGAGAACGGCTGTGAAGGTTCTCAGTCATCCAGGTCATCGCAGTCAAAGGAGCTTTCAAAGAAAAGCGTCTGGACTTCTTTAAGCTGCTTGAAGACGTTTCTCAGATGAGAGCTGAAACGTCTTCAAGCAGCTTAAAGAAGTCCAGACGCTTTTCTTTGAAAGCTCCTTTGACTACAGAGAACGCTGCGATTTACAAAAACAAGGCAACGTTAGTGAATGCAGCATCAGATTTCAGCCAATCACAGGCTGCCTCTGACCTTCGCGAGCGGGAGAGAAGATGTCCAGACTGTTTCGTCCCACGCTACTGAACTGCTCCGCCCCCTGCTGGCCTTCAGCTTCCCGACACATCCCGTCCACAGCAGCGCCTCCTGCTGAACACGTGCTGTAATTATGGCTTTATCATCATCAGACAGGACAACCGTGATTGGCCACACTGCCACAGGAGCTTCAAGCTCACAGTTGCCTTATTTATCTGTGTGGGAAAAACAGAACGCGCACACTCGCGTTCACAGTGACCTACAGCGTGAAACCCACCTGTGTTTGTCACCTGTCTGTTGGGGGCAGGGCCTGTGCTGGCGGTGGGATCTGGTTGGCTGCTGGGGAGCTTGGTGGAGGATCTCTTAGAGCTGGAAGTTTTTGAGGAGCCAATTTTACTGGACTGAGACAAGAAAGAGAGAAAATAACCCTGCAGGTTTGGACACACTGAAGGAAAAATTGATATTATTCCCATCTTCCATCTGAGAGTCCCGAGGATAGTACCTTGTGTTTGCTGGCGTTGCTCTGGAAGCGCAGGCAGGTCACTGAGGTTTTATGGGCCACTGTGATCCTGGTGGGGGAACTGGAGTTTCTCAGGTCGTACTGGTAGATCTTCCCGTGAGTGGACCCGACCACCAGCCCAGTACCGTCCAGAGTGAAGTCCACAGCTGTCAGAGGACTGTCCACGCGGATGGACCTCAGGACGCTGGAGATGCAGACGAACACGCCGTTAAACACAAAGTGGAACAGATTTTATCCACAAAGAGTGGGCTTCAGCTCATGCTGCCTTCTTATTGATGCTTTGCTTTGGTTCTGGACTGCTGGACAGAAAGTTTTATATTAACATAGGATAAAACACGATGAGACTCATTTTAAAGTCTAGAAGTCTTCTGCAGTCTCCTGAAAGGAAGACAGGTGAAAAACTACACCTCCTCAGAGCCCGGCTCATTCTCAATGAGCTCGAGAGCGCCCTCTATGGAACAGGAGCTCCACAGAGGGCGTGACAGCCTTGTGACCGAGCAGGGACGTGCAGAACAGAGCGATCGGACTCACATCTTGCTGGCGGTGTCGTAGCAGACGATCTTCTTGTCCAGGCCGACGCTGACGACCAGCAGGTCGCTGGTGGGCGAGAAGGCCAGGCCGGAGCCTGGGGCCTTGTGGGCGCCGTCAAACACGTGCAGCTCCTTCTGGGTGTTGGAGTCCCACAGCACCACCGTTCCGCTGTCAGACACGCTGCCCAGCAGGGAGCGCTTCACCGTGGACAACCTCAGGTCGTGGATGGGCTGGAGATCAACAGATTATCAAGCAGTAATACCAAACATTCCTCTGCTGTCTTTTAGTTACAGTCTTTACATACACAGACTGAACAGAGTGAAGCATAAAAACGGAGCTCCTCCTCCACTCTCCGGTTAACTCTGAGCCTGCAGAGTTCTTCTTTTATTAAAGACTTTATATAACGTGATGAGGTGAGGTAAATAAACTGAAAGCACACCTCCACCTTTTGGCTGCTCCCTCACTACAGTCATATCACCAACTCACAGCTCACCTGAGCGGCTGCACATGAGCAGCTTCAAAGAAAATCTTTAAAAGAAAAACGATATGAAAGTGGAGGTCTGACCTGGTTGCTGCCGTGGCCGAACGGCCTGCTGGATAGGTTGGTGGTCAGACTATGGAGGACTAGGTCGCCGCTGGTGGAGCCGGAGGCGACGTAGCTGTCGTTGGCATTAAAGGACACGCAAGTCACCTCCTCCTTATGGTCCTGAGAGAAAAGGAGGCCATGTTTATCCCGCTCAGAGGTAAAGGAACCCGGAGGTGGCGTGAGGTCCTACCTTGAGGGAGCGGTGCAGTCTCTTGGTCTTCAGGTCCCAGATGTGCACGCAGTGATCGAGACCTCCGCTGACCAGAAACTGAGACAAGGAGCTGAGACACACCCGGGTCTGCTTTTTCTGAACACGGGTACAAACCAGCACCGTTACACTTCACAGAGGCCGAAGAGCTCTCAGTGAGATACTTACCAGACTGACTCGGCTTTCTAAAACTACACAGCGTAACTAAAATCTTTAGTTTCCCTCTTTTCCCTGAAACCTAAACTTCACTAAAACACCTGGGAGAACAGCTGGTATCATATTTCTAAAGCTCAGTGTTTTGGGAACTGAAGGAGAATTTGGACCCAGAGACAAACAATAACGTCTTAGGCTTTATTCTTCTTTTACCCCTCTGCAGTCTTTAAAGAGCTGAGACTCACCCCGTCGGCCAGCTCCACCACCGGCACAGGAGTCGACTTGAGGCTGGAAACGACCAGCTTGTCCCCACTGCTGCTGGCGCTGACCAGGTACTGGTCTGAGAGAACTGGTCAAGGCTGATTCACAGATCTAAAGGTGATTTATGCTGCTCACTCTGACAGGGCAGCTCTGCATGATTCATAGTTTAAAATAAGCTTTCTTTGTCTCATATTGTTCATGACCTGTCTGAAAGAAGCTGCTTTAGCTCCTCCCCCTTTAAGACATTTTATTGTGATTGGCTGCCCCTTGAAATTAAACCGCCAACTGAGATCATAAACTCATCAGGAAGTGCTTACTGAGCTCAGGGTGACCAAAGATGTGTATACAATCAGACAGAGGAGTCGCCCCCTGCTGGACATGACAAAGACAGCAGATTTCCATCTTTCATATCCCGGCTGTGGTGACTTAGTGACAGCAGGATACTGTTGGAGCTCCAGCAGGCCTGAGCAACAGGGTGGCTTGTGCTGTGTGGGTTAAACTGCTCCACTGGCGCCATGGAAACCGCATCCCAGATCTTCACGCAGTCTCCGGTCGACACCAGCCGTGTCACCTCCTCCATGGTAACAGCTGGAGAAAATAAACACATGCACAGAGTTGTATCGTCGCAGGCCGTCACTGTTAGTTTTACAGCTCATCATTGGTTTTGTCAAACTTGCACAAACAACATAATTGTAAAGTTTTCCATTAAACAATGATCAGAACTACATGACTATAGAAGGGAAAGGAAAAACCTGCGATATAAACACAGGAAGATGGATCGGATTTACATTTTACTTTTTGGCTTTTAGACAAAGATCCGACAAAGCCAAAAATGTGCATGTCTACTTTTCCCACTGAATTCAAAACTAGATTCTATTTAATTTATTTTCGATTGTGTTTATTTCCTTTACTGTTCAGCGCTCTGAAACCTGGTTTTAAAAAGTCTTATAGGAAGGTAGAGTTGAAAAGCTGGTGCAGTAACTCCAAGTATCAGGCAGTAAAAGTACACAGTGCTGAAGTATTTCTGTGGAACCTTCTATCGGATGTTCGTAGTTTTTTGGTCTCTGTTGTAGTTTTTCTACACAGTTAACTGCAGGCAGACGGACACGTAAAGCTGAGTCTGACGCCTGTGAGGACTTTTAACGGCTCGCAGGCTGTTTTTGGTCCATCAAACAGAAATTTTATCGACTTTGCTCCGTTAACTTGAACCTGCAGCTACAGGTAGCTCATGCTAACCGACTAACAGCTTGACGGCTTTAAAGTTAACAAATAGTCGCGAGGCGAGCGGAAACTGCCGGGAATGTTTTCGCCTGACCCTCAGAGTCCTTAAGATTAACTATACTTACCCAGAAAGAGTTTTTAATCACCGAAAAGTCGAAACTGAGTTTGTTTTGGAGGCGCCCGCAGCCAATGAACCGCCACTACGGAACACCAGGAGGGACAAACGGTGGAAACGGGCTCGTACTTCCTGTGTTTGTGTTAAAGTCTAATCGAAATGTACTAAATATACAGTATCAAGGCAACAATTAAAGAAAAACACAGAATAAAATATTTAATTTTTGTTATATTTTATATGAAGAAAATAGGAATATAAAAACGTGGCTTTATGAAGAAAAATAAAACAAAAACAAGTTTAGTAAATATTAGTGATGGGATTTCCGGCTCTTTTAGAGAACCGACTCTTCCGGCTCGACCCACTAAAAAGAGCCGGCTCTTTCGGCTCCCAACCGGATCTCAAATTCAAATCAAATTCAAATTTTATTTGTCACGTACACAGTCATACACAGTACGATATGTAGTGAAATGCTTGGACAACTGCTCGTGACCTAAAGAAAACAAAAAAGGAAAAGGCTATGAATAAGATAGGAAATAAATATGAAAAATTAAAAAGGGTAAATTTAACTAGGAAGGAATAAAATATAAATTAAGGTTAAAAATGAAATAACTGTACAACACAAATTAGAATGAAGGGTAAATTTAACTGGGAAGAATAAGATAAAATATATAAATTAAAGTTGAAAATAAAATAACTGTACAACAAAATACACAATATAGAACTATATAAGAATGTATGAAGAAATATAAATAAATATATACACAATAACAGCAGCTGTACAAGTATTAACCGGAAATGAAGAATATAGTGACCAGTGTTGTGCAAAACCAAAGTCCAGAAAGTCCAGTGTGTGTGTAAGAACTGTATGTGTGGGTCAGTACTGTGTGGTGGTGTGATTGAGAGACCGTATCGCCTGCGGGAAGAAGCTCCTCCTCAGTCTCTCTGTGTTGGTCTTCAGGGAGCGGAATCGCTTTCCTGACCTCAACAGAGAGAACAGTCTGTTGTTGGGATGGGATCTTCAGGTTGTTTTGTTGCTTTAATTAATTTATTATTAACAACAATATGAATATATGCACAAAAGGAATTACTAATGTAAAAAAATGTTGTTTTATTTATATATGTTTATATATAAATATATATAAACGTAAAAACTCCAAAACACGTAAAAACTCCATAGCACATACAAACCCGGAAGCATGTACAAACTCCAAAACACGTACAAAACACAACACAAGTGCTCCAGGATGCTAGTGGCAGTGTTGAGCTTTTGTTACTTAGTGGCTACACAAGCCAGCAAGTACCAACGACCTGATTTGGTGTGTGGTAGTAACAGGTAAATGTACTTTTTTTTTTAATTTATATGAATATATATGAGTGCCTGTGTATAAATACACAAACAATACACATATGCTTTCAATTGTGTAATTTAAGTGATCTAGGTAGCTCTGTTTTGGAAGTTCAGTTAACGCTAGAAATGTGTTTTGGAGTTTATACGTGTTGTGTCTGTAGGGGCCACCGTAAATATATTTTTATTTATTCACTCCACATAAAATGTAATAAATAAATCATATAATACAAAAAAACAACTATTTACATTTTAAACTTTTAACTATTTAAATTTCAGCTTTTTCCTTTTAAACAAATTTAAAGTGGAACAACACAAAACACTGCAAACCACAACACAATTAAACATAAATTAAAATATGAAAACTAAAAGAACATGCATATTCTCTGTCATATGGACCTGCATGAATAAACTTTCTGAATCCTTTATCATCTGCAACTGAAAATAGTTGTGGATGATTACTATACCTTTCTAATGTTGTTGTCCCTGCCTCTCTTTCTCTCTCCCTCCCTCCCGCTCTGTTCCTGTGCTACTGCGAGTGTAACTACCACCCCTCCCCTCAGCGCAAGCACAAGGCTCGCGTGCGGAGTGAAGCGGGAAAAAGTGCGAGAGAGAGGGTGAGATAATGAAAAAAAACCCACGGCTCACGTCGTTCACTTCAAAGACCCGGCTCTAAGAGCCGTTTCGTTCGCCAACGACACATCACTAGTAAATATAAGTTTCTACCGCATAATTATAGTATTAGTATGAAATTCTTAAAGTGTTTTGGAATTATCTTAATTACTGATACCCTTATAGTTTATTGTATTTTTATTGTATATATTGTATAATTTATTGTTTAAAAAAGGCCAATAAAAAAATCGCTCAAATAAAATTCAATATGATCAAACCATAGAAAATGTAAAAAAAAAAAAATACACAAAAAGGAGCTTGACTTTTTTTTTTTTAAAGATATATAGAAATTTTAAATTGAATTTAAAAAAAAAAAGCAGAAAAAACAGAAAAATTTGAATGGAATACAGTAAAAATGAAGATAAAATATTAGTAAAAAATTATATACTAAAATAAATTATTAAAGTAAAACAAACGACAAATGTAATTTGATAAACTGGCTTCATATGCAAAATATTTCAAATTCAGCAAAGAAAAAACAATAGTGTATTCAAGACGTTTCGGCAGTATTATACCCCATAATTGTATTACTATCATGAAATCTTTAACGTATTTCATTGTAATTTATTTACTAAAATCATTATAATTTATTGTGTAAACACAACCTATAAAAAACATTCATTTATATAAAAAATACAATATGACCAAAAAACAACTAATTGAAGTGAAAAATAAATAAATACAGCAGAACAAAAACTAAACATACTATAGTGTATTTCAGAAATTTCGACAGTATTTTTTATTGCAGTATTTACTACTCGTCTTAACAATGTTGATGTCAAAGTTTCCGCCACTAAAAAAAATTGCCATTCATAAAATTTCAGGTTCAAGTTTTCACTTCATTCAAAATGTCAAGTTGTTAACGCTAGTTCCTCAGAAGTTTGAGTTAGTAAGGTGCAATTTGAAGATACATAATTTGAAGTTTTGTGATAATAGCCTGATAACTCAAACTTCTGATTACCAAGAAAATGTTCTGTTTCGTTATTTTTCTGCCAGTGGCTTAAACAATCATCCATACAGTGGAAGAATAAAATGGTGGGAGCTGCAGTTACACACATTCACCTATGAGGGGCAAACTTGTATTCCAGCTATTCGTGGAGTCTACCACTATAGAAGCAAGAGAAGAAGAAGTCTCCCGCCCCATCCGCCTGTTGGTTTTAAACCGAGGCGGGACGGTGCTCGGTTCACTGCGGTCCGCGGATTTCAGGTAGGAGTGTCGGCTTACTGTAAAACCCGCTGCCAACATGGTGAGGACAAAAGCCGATAGTGTGCCCGGATCATACAGAAAAGGTACGGCAACAAGTTAAAGGCATTCAATCAGAATTTAGGTCTTTAAAGCTTGTTTGTACAAGAACACGTCTGTTTTGTAAGGTAGTCTGGCTGGCAGGCGGCGCTGAGCCAAAGCTGGTAAAATCATACAAATGTAGTCTCGAAGAAGAGTAGTTAACGTATTATATTTATTTTTTACACTAAAATAATTGAAAGAAGACTGTCAGATGAAGTTTGTGTGTAAATCCACCGCACGGCTTCCTAAAATCAGCCTCCCGCCAACACGGAGGCTGGTCTGCTGCCCTCTCGGGTTCTCCGGGAGAGGCGAAGATATTTAAATTAAAACATTTAATTGTCTTTTTATCATCGGAGTCAAAGGTTCTAGCTTAATGTTCTCATTCATCTCACGAGGTGTCATCTTTAATGACCCTTTCCCAAAGTTTGTACGACGTTTACTGCAAACTGGCGCCAGTTTTGAGCGCCGCGGTGCGTCTTTGTGCGCACGCCTCACAAAAGTCCATTCGCATATTAAATAATTAAGGCGTCTCTCTTTACCATAGATGCCACGCGTGTTACCGTCCATAATGCATGCATGTTTATTAAGTTCTGGGACCTTCTGGTGAATTTGGCTTACATTTCTTCCAACACCCAACGGATAAGAATTAAAATTTAGACCTGCTCTGCTTCCTTAAAGACCCAGTTTAAATGGCAGTGAACTGCTCTCATTCACTCTGCAGCTATTTTAGGTTTTTAACAAGCTTTCTTTGAACTTTGATTTAACATTCTGCAAATGAGACTTTACTCTCTTTACGTTCATTTGGCTCAGCTTTGGTCCTCGGTGAACTTCTACTGGTTTCTTACTGGATCCTTCATAATCAGCTGGTTTCATGCATTTCATTTGCAGCTGTTGCAGCTTCTGCCCCCCGGAAGTCTCTGGGTGCCAGTTCATCCAACGCTGCCTCCAGCAGCCAGTCCCCCACACCTGGTCAGTCCTAGTTTCACCACACACACACACACACACACACACACACACTTCACGTACTGAGGCTGCTGTAATTGTTGTAACTTGCAGCAAAGAACAAATACACTGGTGGGAACCCCGTGTGTCCTCGTCCCACCCCGACCTGGCAGAAGGGCATCGGGGACTTTTTTGGCGGTCCCTCCAGGAAGATGGAGAAGGAGAACAGGCGGCCCCAGGAGGTGGAGGATGATGAAGAGGCCGGAGGCAGCGGGATGTCAAAAGCCAACAGGAAGTATGTGTTGTGCTTTATTTGAAACCTCTTCAGGGAACTTGTGTCCCAAACTCCTTTTAAAACACACACAAAATGAGAGCTGAAGCTCAGTCGAGGTTTGCTGCTGTGTGATGAGCCATTAGTTTCACCTCAGATTATTTCAGTGTGGAGCTGTACCTGCTGCTGTGATACGTGGGCCAGGCTAGTTTGATTCGCTAAAACACCAGCTGTGTGCTGCGTGAGATGCAACATTTGAATGAATGCTGTATGAAACGGAGGCCGGTGTCAACGGGAGCTGATGCTTTACCGTACCCAAAGAGCGTGATCCAGAGTTTGGATCGGCATGAAGCTTTATATGGTCACTTATGGATCAGGAACCTCTCTGTTCAGTCACCCATCAGAGGCCGGTTTCTGAGGGTTCACCGGAAACCTTCAGCAGAGTCTGCAGCTATCAAATGTAAAAACGCAGAGATGGAGTGCTTTTATTTTGAAAAATGAAAGCATTTTAACTCTGCAGGTTTGTTTTAAAAATTATATTCCCTCATGGTCATTGAATTAAAGCAAACGGCATCAAGTGGTACCAGGAAACTCAATGTCC